AATTTTAAAAGCAAGTAATCTGAATGCTTCATAGGTCAAAAGAGAAAAACCTGCCTTTTCAATCATGCCAGTTACTGGGAATGCAATGGTGAAAGTGGCTACAAAACCTCCCATATTCATATGTCAGCTAATAAGGAGCATGGAATAACCTAATAGATACATATAGCAATAAAAGAAACACTGTAGTGTGCCCTTATACCACACTATAGTCATTTATTGTTTTCATTTACAGTCTTCTTTCTGTATATTTCCATAATTTAATTTCTATAATATAATTTAAGTATTTTGGAACCTCGATTTCATCTTCTCATCCCTTCCATCTTTCACAGATACACATTCATCCAACAAGTTCCCCTTCTACTTTTCGTGTCCTCTCTTTGGGTGTGATTTTTAATTTGATTAGAATTCATACCTCAGCATGAGCATGAATGAAGCATGTAATTTACTGAGGCAAGGTCAACTTATCATTGGCTACACCACTGAAGAAAATGACCTTGCCTCCCCAAACAAACACTCACTTCTAATCGTCTGTTAAAGAGTGCTTGTAGTCTTCTCTTGTAGCCTAATATTTATAATTTAAATAGCGACAATGCCCTTTCTGCAAGGGAAAAGAAACATGGTGGAATGACTTTTAGGTGCAGAATGTAAGCTTTGTTGGGAATTCAACTCCACTTATTATTGCATAGATCAACTTGGCAAGGTTCATAAATTTTTATGTGTTTGAGTTTCTCTATCCATAAAGCAATAATATTGATCATATTTGGTATAATGTTTTTGTGGAATGTATACAATGAATGAAGGTTCTCTAAATATATTTCTTCAATAAATGAAACAACTCATTCCTTCATGTTTATCAAATTTCTATTGGTCACTGACAATTGTTTAAATAAATAAAAATGTGAGGTTCATTTTCTAGTTTTTGTTTTACACATTGCTTGAATTGTAATTATTGAACCTGATTATCCCCTCTTGTATTAATATATAAGGACAAATAAGTATATCATCTTCTAATTTCTTGGTATTAGACTCTTAAGATCCTTCAGAGCCCCAACTGCTACCCCTGAGAGATTTGGAAAGACAGATATGATGGTATCTCTTCCATATGTATTGGTTCTACTCCAGCCTCTCCCTTTGTTCATTTTCCATGTGTGTTGGTTCTAATTATTGTACTTGCCATGTCTATATACTTTGGAAATTTTCAGTATTCTAATATAGGATTCAATAACCTTTGTATTAGTTTTTAGGTAAATTTGCTAATTATTTTTCTAATTAGACTTTATACTACCTAAATACCTGCATTGGTAGCCACATCTGTGCTACCTAACACATGTCCAAAAGCTAACGACTAGGCAATAATTGATAAAGACACTGATCTCAAAGGTAAAAACCTAGCTAAATGCATGATGTTTTAATACAATTTCTGATATCTGAGTGTTCTATTGCCGAGATGAAACACCATGACCAAAAACCAAGTTGGCGGGGAAGAAATGATTTGGCTTATATTTCTATATCACTGTTCATCACCAAAGGCAGTAAGGGCAGGAACTCAAGCAGAAATCTGGAGGCAGAAGCTGATGTAGAGGCCATGGAGGCTTGCTGATTCCTGGCTTGCTCAGCCTGCTTTCTTTTTGAACTCAGGACCACCAGCGCAGAGATGGCACTACCCACAATAACCTGAGCCCTCCTCTAGCAATCATTAATTAAGAAAATGTGTTACAGATTTGCCTACAACCTGTATTCCTTAACTTGGGTTTCTTCCTCTCAGAGACTTGTGCGTGTGTCAAGTTAACATGAAACTATGCAGTACAGCTGGGAATGTACCTCAGATGTTTTATATGTAGTGGTTGGAAAGTAAAAGCTTATGATATAAAGTAATTATCTATGACAATACAAAAGTTGTTTCAAAAATATCTATCAGTTCTGGAGTTAACTGGTTAGTATGAAGCCGATGTGCACAGGGATGGAGAGAATTCAGATGTTTCCAGAATTTAATAAACAAAATAATTGGCTTATTCCAAACTTCATGTTGTAGGGTACCATATTGACTGAATTAAACACCAGGGCACTGAATAACTCAAACAATGCAGGCATAATAAAGATTTCAAACACAGTGAAATTTTCTATTGCCTTGGCAAATAGAAAATGATTGACATCCCAACACCCAGTCAAATTTCTGTGCTAAATAAAGCATTTCTGGACAGTGTTGTATTAAGGATTAATCCTTCCATCTATTTTTCAAAACAGTTCAATATAAGACAAAAGTAGAAGAAGAGGAAGAAGGTCATTTAGAAAGGAACTTTACTAGGCATAGGCGCTATGAGAAAGCAAACAGATCAAAATTCTAATATGATTTCAGAGAATGGCAGTAGAAAAAAATGGCTTCACTCCAGAAATATGAGCCTTAAAATACTTAAAACCATTCTTGCCCCCATGATCTCTTTTATATGGGAAAAGCATTCTCTTCTTATGTATTGGATATAAATTGGAGTGAGTTGCAAAGGGCAAATAATTTGGTTGTGTTTAACGTTGTCCTAATCAAATAATGAAGACAATGAATAATCAAAGATCATGAACTTTATATGCATACTGAGTCTGGAAGAATCCTGAGCCTAGAGAGTACCCTTCTCCTTCTGTGACAGAATGGAACACAGTGTGGATATTTGTTGAACAGGGAGATGGGCTATGGCAGAGATGAATTGAGTGCTCAGTAAGTCCATCTCCATTTCCTAATTTCTTAAGGAGACATATTTATCATCTTTTGTCACAGTTTAACTGTATCCTGACATTAAGGTTTGGCCAATGGAAAAAAATGTTCATGCATTCAAAGCTGCTCCCTAGTAGCTACCATGCACAGTAGTTCAGTTTTCTGTTTGTTGGTTACTAAGGATATGTGCATGACAAGGCAGCATCCAAAGACAGGTAGAAGCTGTTCCTGCAATCACTTCTTTGGCAGTGAGCATAAAAGGAGAACAACCCACAATATGGCATGCTCTGAGAAAAAGAAAAATATTTCACTTTTATACGTTACCAAATGGATTTTATGATAATATGTTATAGCTTTTAGAGGCTATTCCCTGATATAGTGTATATTTAGCTCCTGGGTTTGGTTATATTGGTAACTGGGTATATTTTTCTTCTTAGTAAAATTATTTGAATGGAAAGAAAATGTCATCTAGATAGTAAGGTTGGTTCAGTAAAAAGCCTTGCCTAAGAGAACCAGTCTCCTGTAACCATGCCATTGTTTACAAGCTATGGAAATCAATTAACACGTTTGTGCCACCACATCTATGAAAGGAAACCAATGTTAGACTCTTGGCTACACGGGGAGAGGGCTACACCAAGGGTTTGCTCAAGATTCTCTATGGGTTTGACTTATGAGTCTCCAAAATAGAAGTTAAATACTCGAAGCTACTTTAATCAAAATATGGAAAATAATTTTCTGATTTAGATTATTTTTATCCTCTGATAAATGACAGAATCCAGCTTTGAATGTAAATATTTGTGTAGTGTGATTTAATTGGTTTTAGCCAGTTAAATCTGATGTGATGTGAATTTGATGGAGACACATTATATGTATGCATGAAATTCCAAAACAATAAAAATAAGAAAGAAAAAGGATAAAAAGAACAAGAATGAGGTGACGCACCGGTGATAGTTTCACGAAGCTGATTTCATAGGACTCTAAGTGTCTTCTCCTTACAACCTCAGTCCTCTGCCAACAATATGCAATGGTGGAATTGAAACATCAGTCTGACAAACTCTTGCTATGCTTGCCATGGTTTCTCTGGACAACATTTACTAATATTTATTTAGGCTCGTCATTTCTATGTCAATGCTGTTATACAAATGTTAGTTTTCTTTCCAAATCCGTGTGCAGAAATGCTAACCCCAGCCTAACCATACCAGGAGGAGGACCCCTGGGGAGGTGAATAGGTCATGAAGATGGTACATCAATCAATGGGGGGTCAGTGACCCACTGATAAGGCCTGAGAGAGCTTGCTTGCCTCTTCTGCCATGGGAGGCATTCTTTATAACTCTTATAAACCGGAGAGCAAGCCCTCATTAGGTTCCCATGCGGCAGCACATTTTTGTCTTCAAAGCCTTCAGAGCTTCGAGGAACACATTTCTGTCGCTTATATGTCAAAAAGTTTCTGACATTTTGTTATAGCACCTCAAACAGACTAAGCTGGTAAAATAATTCAAATTTCAAATAATTCCAATATTAAAAGGAGCACATCTAAAAAATTTCAGTCATCTTTGATTCTATGTTCATCAGTTAACAAATTAGTCTTAAAAAAGTAATTCCAGTCTTGCAAAAGTGATAAACTAATCAATAAGGTACATGGAGCTAATGATTTAAATTAGATCAAATGGAATTTTCCTTCTTTAAATTAAAATGAAAAAAATGCCATAGCCTAAGTCTAAACAAAGGATATGTAAAACTCCTTTTGTTAATGAATTATCTTTTTCTAATTGCTGGAAAATTCTGGTTAGTTGAGAGCAAGCATTTACACTTACAGCAGAAAACAAAGGCATGAATTACTGATTCCGTCTTCAAACTGTTTTTACAGAAATTTATCAATTTTATGCAGATATTTTAAGAAACTATGCAACACAGAGTCTGGTTAGATACTTTGCTTACATTTGGTTAACTTATATTTACTGTACATATCTTCTTCCAACAATTCCATTACACAGTATAGAACTGGTCACTGAAATAGCTACAGTGATTCCAGACTAATACACACACACACACACACACACACGCACATACACATACAAATAGCTCCTTAATTTGATTGAATTTAACTCATGAGACAATTTTTGATTTGGAGAAATGCCAAGATATTTTAGTTAAGTGAATCTATTAGGAGAATATACCGTAAAGGAAAACACAATTGTAAGCAAGAGTGGGCATTTAGCAGGCCCACATCTTGCCATTGTATTAGCATTCTTTTTTACGTACAAGCTACTTTGAGGTAAAATAACTTTCCACTCACCAGCGTGGAGGTTTGATTGGCATCTGCCACATCTGCTGAGGTCTCTGGTGTCCGTGTGGTGTTTGGGATTCTGTGAGGGTTCCGGGCTATCGCTTCACACCAGCCCAGCATTTTCTTCTTCCTCTTTTCCCTTTTCAATTCCTGAAATTCTGAAAATAATTTACATTCCCTGAAACACATCACTTTTCATAGTTATGCTCTGGAAAATACAAATTGCAATGTTTTAATCCCAAGATTTAATGAAATACTGATGGAGAAGTTTTATTTTAACTGAAAATCATGAAGGGGAAAAAAAGGATTTTCAATTATTAATAATCTTATCCTAGAGCCATTGCACAGTGTAAAATGTGCATCTTTTCAAAATATACATTGTTTGCATCCTCTTCTAAACAAAAGGAATTTCCTACACCAGATTGTAGAAGATTTTTTTTTCTAGTGTTTGTTAAAAACATTCTTAACCTGGAAGCGGAAAACAGTCCCAGAGCCTGAGGATAACTATACATAGTTATGCGAAACTTGACAACAGGGATACATTCTAAGAATGAGTCAGGAGACAACTTCATTGTTGGACTATCACAGAATGTACTTGACAGTCACTGGGCATGGGCTTTTGAAAGAATCAAGAGACACATAAACAAGAAATTCCTGAAGCTCCTCCATTATAATCTGAAATATCTGTCTATCTATCTATCTATCTATCTATCTATCTATCTATCTATCTATCT